GCTGCAGCTCCACTGACTCACCGGCCTCCCCTCTGCCGCCGCTTCCTCTCCGGGAGGCAGAAACTCCCAGTTTTTATTTATCATGTTGGCTTAAAGTAGGGGGTAAGGAAGGAAGCGCTCTTATTTTTAACTTCTCTATCTCCCCTGAGCCACTGGCAGAGCCGGGGGAGCCCGGCCGCGTTCCCGTCCCTGCGGCCAGGAGCTGCTCCGGGCACGGCCTCTGCAGCGCGTCCGTGCGTGGATCCACGTGCAGCTTCCTTCTAGGAGCACCTGCTGGGGGGTGCTAGCAAAGTGCTGCTTTGTAGGTGCTTGGGGTCCTTTGCTGTGACCATAGTGGGGACAAAGCTGTCCTGATGTCCCCGTCACCCGGATTTGTCGCCTTGCAGGGCCAGCGTGCAGGGATGCTCTGCAGGATGGGAGGGTTGGAGCCCCCGGGGCAGAGCAGTTTTTAGCGCAATGAGTTTTTACGCTTCCAGGTGATCTTTACCGCTGGGATCCTGGTGAGCTCCACAGTGGCCCCGGGGGGGGACAGGTGGCACCAGGAGCACCGTGGTGGCCCCGTGGTGGCAATGGTGTCCCCCCGGCCGAGCTGCTGCATTTGCTCTGAGTGACCGGTTTGCACAAGGGGTTTTGGTCTCGCATTCCCCAGGGTTTGCTTTTAGCTCCTGTTGAAACCTTCATTTGCTTCTAGCAGGAGCCCTTTTTTTCCTTGTGATCTTTTCTTTTCCCCCTCTGCTGCCCTGAGATAAAGGCTTCTAAATTTGTCCTGTGCTGAAAATGCAGCTAATCCTGATGGACCTGAATTCGCATCTCCCCCGGAGGAATTGCGCTAATTTTTTTTTCCCCTTTGTTCTGCCAGGGGACCTGTCCGTTTCCTTGTGGAAAAAAAAATCCCTATTTAGGGCAAGGTTTAGATTCCAAAACCTGTGTGTTTGTTTGCAAGAAAGGAGGACAGGAGGGAAATCAACCCAAAAAAAGCATCATGTTTTTTTTTTCCCCCACTTCCAATATTGTTTTTACAGCAGGGAAGTTTAATTAAAGTGTGGAACTAGGACGCTTGTGGTGTCCAGAAGATGCTCTGAGGATGCAGCCCTTTCCCGCCAGTGTTAAATCGGGAGCGTGGGCGCTGCCGGGCAGTCCAGCATCCTGCCCCCCCTCCTGGCTCGACCTGCTGCATTGGGGTCCCCAGGGACGGGTCCCTCTGCACCGGGGGGACCAGGCGGTCAGTTTGGGGGTGCGGGGAGAGCCCTCGGGCCCCTGTTGCTTTGGGCAGGTTGGAAGCTGGTGTCTGGTCGCGCCGGGATCCGCTCCCCCTTGCACGGGGAAAAGCTGGTGCAGCAAAACTGGGCAGGGGGGCGGCGGCGAGGGGGAAAGGGGAGCGCACGGCCCCCAGCGCCGGGCCGGCTCGTGCTGCAGGCGCTCGCCTGGGGCAGAAACAT